TCGACCCGGTCCCTCATTGGTCGACCTCGGCCCCTCGGGGTTCAGCCACTCCGGACCGGTTAATACAAGGATCAGACCAGTCGACGCAAGGAATCAGAGCTTCAGGCAAGGATAGAGTAAAGGAGTTAAAAGGATAGGACTATATTAAATACTACTCAATTTGCGATCTACTTGGCAAGTCTTCGTCGCGCTGTAAAGGAACTCGAGTCTGGCCACACGCCTGTTCCGGGGAAAAGATATATTTGCCCCCCCCCCCCTTGAAGACAGACGCGTGGTTAGACTCAAGTGCGAGCTTAACCCGCACGTGGCACGACTCCGTCACCCAAGAAGAACTTGCTCTAAGATACTCACTGTTCCGGGAAGGGATGAATTTTGGACCCCGTCGAAGACAGCTGTGTAGCGAAGTTCAAGTGCGAATAGAGCTCCAGGATATATTTGGCCTGTGAGCTCGTTCGAGTAGCAACACCTCCCAACACCCGCTATCGGAAGCGGTCTCCCTCACCTCACGGTCCGGGAGCAACGTAAAGGTCAGGTGGTTAATACCCCTGAAACAAGAAGGAAAAGGCCAGGGACGACAAGCGCTCTGAAGAATTTGGCTCTAAGTCCACTCTCGATAAGGTCGATCGAGTGGCCACCTACCGGCCCACCGAGTGAAGCATATCTACTCGAGGCCCCCCAGGTCTACCTCCCTCAAGGCAGACGTCTACATCATCACCAAGTCCTCCGAAGAGTGCAACCCGCCAGCCGACGGGTACACAAGGTGAGAGAAGGTCCATACGCGGCATCGGGGTACCCCCTCCGACAGTCTGTAGTCCGGCAAAGTAAGTAGTTTAGGGGTCTTATCATACAATTTTGATAACCCACTCCACCACAATGTCATTACCGACATCCAGTGAATCGCATTTACAGCCACTTTCACTAACAAGGTCATCGACCTTCACTTGCTCTATACGAGAGCCGATGTCATTACCGACATCCAGTGTCTCAATATTACTTTTAGTATCACTCAACGGAGTACGTGCCGTTCCACTAAGTGTCACTGAGCTCTGCTCGACACTATTATTGTTGACATCGGAGTTTATCAACTCAGACACTCCAATGTCCAGCACACTAACTGAATCAATTAATGGCTCGCGCCAATAGCACTTCTGTTTCTTAGCGAAGGTGGGCATGACTCTCCAAAGCTTTGCTAGGAGCATTGCGCGTTGCGCCTAAAGTTTTGGATCTCCAATCGATCCACGGCTCGTGGCGTTCCAGCCAGGCCATACCGAGAATGAGATCATGTCTCGAGTCCAAATCTAGGACAAGACAGCGTTCAACGCTATTATAGTCTAAGAACTTCACACCTAAGTTCAACGGAACTTTAGGAACGGTGACACGTACACCTGTTGCGAGGCGCACGGTTATGCTGTCACCCTCTTGCGCTTCTAGCGCCTCAGCATAGAGCTGACTCCCTTCAAGGTAACGACGTCGGACATAATTACCCGACGCCCCTGAGTCAATTAAAATTGACCATGGTTTCTCAAAACCCTTAACGGTTGCCGACAAAATCAACAAGCCTGGCTTGTAATTGTGGCGAAGCGAAAGAGTGAATTTGGCAAAGTGTGATCGCATATTTTCGGTTAAGTCCGAAATGGTCAATATTGATGAATCGCGATCCCGCAGAAGAAGTTTCGAGACGATGGCAAATGGGATGGAAAACAGTGAATGGTGGAGTTCGTAGTTCTATGTGGAGTTAACTATGGCCTAGAAGCTACGCAATTGCGATCTCCGATACTTTTTGATGGCAATTCACGTGAACGCGATCGCTAAGAAGGAGGATTGGTAATCTCAATAATGTGGAAGACGGTCAGGTGTGAATTACGTTGCTTTAAAAGACTGGAATGAGCTGGACATGACGTCATATAAATGGACCATCTCACATGACCCGAGAAACGGTGAAGACGACAAGTCGTGATCCGGCGGACCGCGATCCGATACTAATTATTAGTACCGCAATCCGATATTGATTATTATTACCGCGATCCGATACTAATTATTTAGTACCGCGATCCGATATTAGTTATTAGTACCGCGATCCGATACTAAGTATAAGTACCGCGATCCGATACTAATTATTAGTACAGCGATCCGATACTAATTATTTAGTACCGCGATCCGATACAAAAATGGTTTTAGATCCAACCGAGGTAGCGATCCAGATCGCGGCGATATTGGAGTGGACCACATTACAAGATTTGATTTCTCCGAAAGGGCGATACGTGGCAATAGATCCTGAGCTACAGATAGTCAAGATCATAGGTTTTGGTATTTGATTGGTTAACATTAACAGAGTTCAATTTGCTTCTAAGTACACGTGTCGACTTCTCTTCCGGGCTGGATTCTTTGGCCTCCCGACGCTGAGAATATCGACTACAAGTGCACCATGGATTGTTTGGCCATGTGAAGGAATACTCAACACAACAACTCAACTACGATCGGCCGCAGAAAATACAAGTAAGGGCAGGGCAAGCAAGTGCAGGACGAATCAAGTGGTCAGAAGGTTCTGCTCAAGTGGTCAGAAGATTCAAGCTCCGCCTTATTCGACAATTGGGATCTATTGGTACGATCACACCAAGTATTCGGTCGATTTTGCGAAAAATTCCACAAGATCACCTAATTCGATTAAGATCAACATCGACTCAAGTCCACAGAGAAAAGAGCAACCCGCCCAACCGACGGGTACACAAGGTGAGGAAGGCTATATACACGGAATCGGGGTAGCCCATCCGTTAGTCGGTCGTCCGGGCGCCAGTGGAGAGTCGGAATCACATCAGCAATTTTGCGAATCCCACTCCACCACAGCAAGAACAAGCTAGAAGCTTAGAGGTTCATAGAACCAACGCGCAAAGTGCACAAGAGAACAAGTCAGAGCGACTTGCGATCTTAAACTCAAAATGAGAACTGATTTTATTTATGCTTTAAGTTTTTATGAATAGTCCTACTCTAAGTACACTACACTAGATTAATTACTATAATAGTAATTATTATATGCAGACTTTGCTATTGAACGACGTATCGTCTAAACATCTGTGTATGATGTACTTAATACAGCGTTAGTGATTTATCGAATCCCAATCGATAAGATACGGTATTACAGAATACCGTATTATAACGCTCATACTTAATACCTCTATAAAGAGAAGTATAATAATGCATTATATGCAATACAAAGGAGAGTTTAACCGTAAACTTTCGAAATGATGTTACAACCGTCGTGAACCACGTTACACTGAAGCATGAGCTTAAATCTAGATTTAAGCTCGCTAATGACTTCCTTCTGAGACGTCGCGATGCCTAGTTTCAACTAGCGTCATCCCTTCCCATGTGAATCCATTAATGGATATCACATTCACGAGGGTGGGTCACCTTTGTGTATCGCACCCAAGTGACAGGTCAAAAGTAATCATGGATACTTTTAGACCTTACATTAAGTAAATTACTTAATGTTTACGTGTAACTAGATACCTTGTTACAGGTCGGATGCTTTGTATTGTTTTCATTCAAATTTCGAGCTTAATTACGGACGGACATGTGACGATATGCATCCATGATCCGACCTCCGGAAACTCTAAATACACAATTTTACTGACAGTTACGGTACTACTATCTTATTGACTTTATTTGTATGCCAAAATGGCAGTGATATTAATGTGCTTGCGTGTCATCATATCTCAACCTCAGCCCCTAACTTCCGTGCTGGGGACCACCAATATAAAAAATGTGCTGACCAGTCAAAGCTACATACGCCTTCGTGTCGATGCAGCTGTCGGAGCCTGAAGAGCACCGCTGGGCCGACTTAATTGCTTGTGCTGAAGGCGCCTTCGTTTTAAGATCGTGAAGATGTTTTCGGACAGCTGCAAAACTGCGTGATTGGAATTTATTGCTTGATAATATAGTTAAGATTACTTGTTGCTCGACTTTTCGAACCTGCAGTCATTTGATGCCCTCCAGTCACATACGCAAAGCATGTAGCCTACGTATGTTCACTTTTTAGCATACGACAGCTCCGCTTGTGTAGCTTTTCTGCCTGGTCGCGGTATCCTAAATCAAGGGCAACACGATGTGCAAGAACTTGATGAATGCGATGAGCTGCTTCGTGATGGACCTCGGCTGCTTGGGTGCTTCGCGCATCCAGCGAGCACTTTTTCATACCGCGCATACCTCATGCCATGAAGGCGAGACACTGACTATTTTTGGATTGGATTTTTCTTGGCCTGGTTGCAGCTAACTTTTTATTGCTCATCTGCTATCTTTATCCACCAAAGCTTCTAGTATGTCCATTCTCTATCGTATTGGTGCTTGATGCGCTGGATCAATGGCTTAGAATATGTCGTTAGTGACAATGATCTTCTTCTATTTTCCCTGACTTAAACTTGGCGTGCTTGTGTCTTTGCTTGACATGTGCGTTTCCAGACAGGTAACAAGATGCGACGGACAAGCCAGCAACACTTGGTCCAGCATTTTCAAAACCTGACCGTAGGTTATCAAACTTGAGCGCCTTTATCGAGGACAGGTACATCAGGTACTTGTCGATTGCATATGTACTTGGATCGTTCTTCCTTGCAGCAGGTCGTTACCTTATCCGCTATGCAAAGGTGAGCTTCTCTTGTATGTCGGCCTCGAAGGTGCTCAATTTCAGCGCCATTACCATTGTAGCTACTGAAGGCTTTACTGATTCGATGATCTTGTCTACCATCTATCAAAATGCTTTCATTTATTCACATTATAAGCTCGGTGGTTGCTGCACCCCATTTAAAACAGTAAATATGGTCGGATAAGTACTCGTATTGTCAGAGTCTGAGATATATATGTACAGAAGATGCGTAGCGTCACAGTTGCGATGACGAAACGCCACTACAGGTCAAGTTGAAGGCTTCCTATGTTTATCCATCGTTGCGACGGTCAACAGCTCATAGTTATGCAATAATTGTAGTACTTCAGCTTTTGCTCTCAACTCGATGAGGAAGAGTTCGGTACTAATTGGCGTCCTTTCCAGCACCACTATCCAAGCACAGAACGGAGAATTTCATGGACTAGCAGCGAGGCTAACCGACACGACTGATGCAGATTTCTACACCTTTATGAGCTGTGCACAACCGGAAGGAGCTCGATGTGTTGGACAGTGCGTTGAAGTGTGGTGTGAGAATTGTTTGCTCGGTTCTCGGCCAATTCTTCGAGTTGCTGATCGGTGCGCTGCATGCGAAAGTGGAGATTTGTTTCTATCTCGTGATATCTTCCAGCAACTCTTAGGTACAAACACGTCCATGTCATTTTCAGTCCAGTGGAGGTGTGTGGATTGCGGGATGATTGTCGGTAATAAGCAAGTTGCTGGCGAAAGAATACATCCTGACTCCGAAGGCCGGGTGCATGCGACGCAAGCCTTAGACAGCACGAACGATCTTGTTGCTCATCAATCGATCAAAGATGGAGCTCTCGCTTGTTCCTTGGCTGGTCAAAAAATTGCTAGAAGTTCAGACACAAAAGTTAAAATACCACCCGTGGATACTAGCGAGAAGAGCAACGGCGAAGGCATGAGTGACACCAGCAGCGGCGGTGACTTTTCGTCTGGTTCTGAATCAATGGCAGGAGATGTGAAGTGGGAGGATGTCCAAAGAGAGAAAGTAACAGTTTTACCGATGCCAACCCCACCATCATCATCATTATCTAACAGCACAAATGGTGCTTCGACCCCACCAGTTCCGTCAACAAAAGCTTCTTCTAGCAGCTCATCAATTTTTGATGGTACATCTTCAAGCGATGGTGCTGGATCTTCGCTCTCTTCTTCGGTAAACCCCAGCTACTCGGTGGAAAAGATCCCTTTCGACAATTCGCAGGATGCACTTGCTTCATCTAGTTTATCAGGCACCGATAACCAGCCTCCCATATCTACCCCGACATTGTCTCCTTATCAAATGTCAGACGACAGTGTCGATAACAGCTTGTCGGCCACTTCAAGCGTAACGAAAAGCCCGTTCTTCTACGCATCGATCATGCTCGGAATCGTGGGCTTGATAGGTGCCACTGTCGGGTATCGAGCAAAGCAGAAGCGGAGCTACCGCAACGAACGGAGAGCGTTTCGGATGTTTGCTCAAACGGGCATTAACGTTAGTAACCCTCTTCTGGCCTCATCTGTAATGGCGGCCCAAACTTCTCGGACTCGACCTGATAGCCACACCATTGCGATTTTATAACCGTATTCTTCTCATATACAAGATGAATACTGAAGTTATGCTGGCGACGCAACTGCCGCACTGAAATGCAAGATTTTCTGATGCCGCCGCTGTCTGGATGTTAAACCAGCTTCACTGAACCTTTCATCTCTTCTCTTGCTGCATTCACTCGAGACCAGGGCGGTGTATGCAAGTCAACCTTGCGTTGGATTGCTCACTTTACAACTGTCAGCAGTATGGACAAGCTCGTGCTATTTACGGTGATTACATTATTGTTACTACAAGTCGACGCTCATGCACACACACTCGACCATCAAGAAATCAAGTCGTCTGTGTTAGACGCTGATATCTCATTCTCTTCAAGTCGCACCAGTGCCAACGTGGAAGACTTAGTGCCCGATGCAGCAGGAAGCAGTTTCTTAGGCCATGATGATAGCCTTGAGAAGGCCATTCACGGCAAAGTGCTTCGCAGTAACATGGAGGCAATTGCTTCGACCTTCGTATCGGCAGCAGTTGAGTCCCCTCTCTCCAGTGTTTCATCACCCGAGATATTATCCTTTAGTCCCTGTGACGAAGAAGCCTCATCTTCTGTAGCAACTCGCTATCGAGAGAGCGACGCTGCTAGCAGTAGCTCCTCAAGGGACGAAGCCGGCATCATCGGGAACATCGAGCCTACCGCTGCATGTTCAAACTTTGGGAGTACCTTCACAGCAGCCGTGGCTTCTGATTCCTTCTCCGATGTTGCCACCAGTGGTCAATCTCCTGCCACCGATAAACCAACCTTCCAGTCCTTCACCGATGGCTCCAGATATTCAGCAGGAACGGTCGAGCCCAAGCAAGAGCAAGTGGTAGTTGAAAGTACGTCACTGGAGGTGTCCGCCTTGCCCCGACAGATTACAGACTCCAGAAGAAAGGCCTACATCTCCACCTCCACTTCCACTCACTCTGGCGACGAGGCAATTTTACCAGCAGACCAGCTTTCGAGTAGCACAAACGAAGGAAACGACACTAGCAACACGAATAGTGCGCTCTTCTACTCGTTCTTGGTGCTGGGCATCGCTGGTCTTGTCTGCGCCGTTCTCGTTTACATCATCAAATGGCGAGTGACTGCACGAAACAGTATCATGACACCCACGTCCCCCGCTACATGGTCGCCGCCTCCGAGTGAAGTACACGTAGTCATGCACCGTCGCAACGTTATCGTCCTATAATTGTCAATGGAATACATTGACCTAGCGTAGTTAACTGCGGTTTTAGGTTCATTTTTAACATACACCGCTTTTTAACATCCCGACATGACAAAAGAGGAGAAAAAGCTGCCGCTTGGGGCTGTTCGCGCCACAAATGGAGAGGTCTTTGTCCCTGCATCACGTCGTGCTGACGGCTCGACGCGCAAGCCGATACGCATTCGTCAGGGCTACGTTCCACCGGACGAGGTGCCCAAGTACAAGACTGTTGCACAGCGTGTACGTGTACCATTCCCTGTTGCGTGTTGAGTGAGTTAAACTCGTGATATGATGCTTCTTCCCTTGCTATGATGATGACAGCGACGTGAACAAGAGGCGGCACGATCTACCAAGGTGAAAGGTGGCGGAGATACTGCCGTCGAGGAGCTCCTGATGGACAAATTGTCACTAGAACAGGAGATGGAAGCTCCAGCTGCGAAAGAGCGACCCCGTAGCACTGAAGAGAGCAAAAAGCATCAGGACAAAGTGAAAATCAAGAGAGCAGAGACTGCAGTCAATGCAACTGCAGGAGAAGCTGCTGGAGATTATCAGCAGCAATTGAAGCGGCAGCTGACGAAAATTAACAAGCAGCTCAAGGAGATTGCAAAATTGGACGACGTGGAGAAAGCTTTGCTTTCAAAGCAGCAAAAGCAGACGATTGAAAGAAAGACAAAGCTTCAGCAGCAGAGAAATGAGATCATTGTAGAGCTAAACGGGGCAACTATCACGAGAAGTAGTAATCCTGTCTCAGGGCAACGCTTGAAAGTTGCAATCAGTTTATAGGCTGTCGAATGTATACTACGTCAATGCTGCTCGGACGTTGCTCATGGTGCATGTTAAAGAGAACTTATCCGCGTGTAATCCCACAAGTTCGAGTCAGCAAACGTTATGTCTGAACTTCGCTCATTTTTGGTTGTGATCGAGAAAGGACAAGTTCACTTGCAACGACGGCCTCAATCTGTGTATGAATGAGTATTGCTACCAGACAATTTAGTATTAATCTTCAGTGACTCAGATACACCGGCGCTCTACAATTCAAAAAGACAGTCAAGCTACTATTATCAAGCGCTTACCATGCCTGATAGTGACGTTGCCTACGAGTACTACGGCATGGTTGCTGTCGACTAGATGTGTAGAGAACGACTACGACGCTGACACAGCAGTAGATGCAGCAAGAGAAAAAGCAGGAGTCGCAGCAAGAGACAAAGCAGGAGTCGCAGCAAGAGACAAAGCAGGAGTCGCAGCATGAGATGCAACGTCCATCATGTTGTCCACCCAGCCCCACGCGATCACCGAGATGCGGCCTTCTTCTCGCACCGGCACGTCCTGAAGAATGCCGTGGCGCCAAAACACGTTCGTGTCCTTCGAGAATGCGTAAACGCATCCATCCGGCTGAGGCATACTCACGACGGTCTTCGTATCGGCATGTTCAAAAGCAACATCACGAGTGGCACCGAACGAGATTCCGACCGTGAAGTTTTGAATAGCAGCAATATGGGGCTTAACACCGGCAGCATCGAAATGAAATGGCTTCCATTGTGAAGTGTCTTCGTACCAGTTAAAGCGAGTGGCCTTGATGTCCAAATTGAAAAACTTTTTCAGTCGGTCAGTGACGAGGTCGAACGTGGGACACTTGGCCTTCCAACTGGAGTGGTCGTCCACAATGAAGTGAGTTCCATCAATCTTGTTGTTTCCATGCCACATCTTCAGCAGCTCCTTGCGTGAAATACCGCAATTGTCCAACTCGTGCATGAGCTTGGCGTACAGCTCACCCTTCTTAAAGTCCGTGAAGAGATTAGGTACAAGCACCACATCACGCGTAGTCAGCGACGTGGAGAACTTATCGTCCTTGGAGCCCAAGTCGTACGTGACACGCAGATCGACTGGCTTGGTCATAGGTTCAAAGCTCTCGGTGTTTTTCTTCGTGGCCTGGCGTCTATTACTTTTTGTCTTTTTCTTAGCTTTCTTGTCATTTTCTTTCCTCTGATTGTCTGAATTACTATCTTCTTCCTCTTCAGACTTGTCCGTCCTTAGCTTTTGGCCATTATTAACCTTGTTTTTCCTAGATTTCTTGTCTTTTTGCTTCTTAATTGTTTTCTTCTTCTCCTCTTCCGTTCCACCCGAAACAACTGCAATAACAGCAGCAGCAGCAGCTTCCTCCTCGTCCTCAGCTGTCGGATGATGCTGTGTCACGAAGTGGTTCTTACGGCATTCGTCACCGAATTTACACTGTCCAGTCTTCCAAAAGAATTGACACAGCTGCTTGTCGTGCACGAATTTGCAGTCGGTGCGTACACACTTTTTGGTGCGCATAAACGTACGGCATACAGTCTTAAAGAGATTCGCTTCGTCTTCAAAGTGTAGCGGACGTTTTTCCTTCTTTTCCACCTGAGGTGATGCCTCACTGGACGGCATTATCGGCGCAGATGCTGGTTCTTCTGACATGTTGACGTTTGATTGTTTTTGTCAAGTGTGTGGCAGCGAGCGCATCACTTTTTGTTTACCTTTGACACTTTATAAGAGAAATAAAATGTAAGAGACTGAAGCAAAGTTGAAGTTGTCGCCACAAGAGAAAAAACTTAAGCTCTAAAGTTTCATGCCAACCCCGTCGGAGGCAAAAACACTTAGTATTGTAGCTGAATAAACTGGTTGTTCACCGAGCACTTCGTTGCCCTGCAGCCCATCGATTGTTCTCCTAGGATCATAATACGGAAATTACTGCTTCTTTCTCGTCCTGAACAAATGCACTTTTTTTAAAAACACCTTTCAAACTTGGACCAAAACCGTCTAGCTAAAAAAAATGATATCCAAATTGATAAATAACCAATGGATAATTTAACAAATGGATAATTTAACAAATGGTTAATTTGAGTGCAGCACTCCCAGATATATCCAGGATAAAACTGACATTATAAATTTTCAGCGATACGATACTTAACTTTTTTACTAAAAAAAACCATTTATTCGATAATCGGCTACATAAAACTATCATCCTAAATGGCTGGAAAGCAGATTAACAGCGACGGCTCAGTGCAGCCACGCGTAAACGCGTCCAGCACACGGCTCGCGTACGTTATCCACCATATATCCTCTCAAATTCTATTGTTATACAATAACACTTGGTTTTTAACACCTACGACAACTCTTTACCTTCAGATCTCTCCGCACAGCCACTGATACGTCCACTGCCCCTGCACGACGGCCCCCCAAGTTCGTACCAAAGGCTGCCAAACGTCGTCCTGCTTCAGAAAATAATGGAGATATATCAATCTCTGGACCACAACGCTCACACGATGCAAAGCTGCATTCAGCTGGTCCTGGAGCGCTTAAACACGACAATAGAGGTCGAGGCGAGTACGGTCGTCGTGGAGGCAGAGGAGGCCGTGGCGCCGGTCGGGGACGTGGTAGTGGACGTGGTCGGGGTGTGCTGCCTAGTGGAAAAGTCGCTTTTGTCGGCACGCTCTCGGGTGGATCTTCATACAGTGGGGGTGGCAGTACTCCTGCTCCACGATCTGCAGACTACTCAGCTGCTGGCGGCACAGGTATCAGTGTGCTAGACGAGGAGGAAATGCCTGGAGGAAAAATGCCGGAACTGAAGGTCGAGGAAGTGTGGCCACCAGTGATCAAGTCAGTAATGGAACCAATGAGTTTGCCGATTGTGCGACCACCGGAACCGGCGAGTGCTGGTGCCATCTTCTGCGACGCTACGGGTGACATTGTGGCCTTGGACGACTCGCTTTTCTTTATTCAAATGCCGACGACATTACCGCTTTCAAGTGCTGTATCGAAATGCAATAGTACGGAAGATCAAGGGATGGAGAATGAGGACGACATGAAGGACCAGGAAGTTAAGAAGTCAAAGGAAAGCAACAGCACGGACGAGTCTCCGTACGTACATGCTACGTATATCAGAAGCCGCAGTGTATACGGCGTTTCTAATTGTGTTGATGTGCGAACTGATAGTGACGATGGAGTGTTTGACCATTCTATTGAGGCCGCACCGGGCGGATTTATTGGCAAGGTGCGATAATTTGCGTTTCATTGTTTCTTACTGCCGAGATCTGATGTTCTTGCCGATAGATTTGCGTGCACAAGTCCGGCAAGATGGTGCTAATCCTTGGTGGCAAGCAATTCGAAGTGGCAGCAGCCCAGACGCCATCCTTTTGCGAGGAAGTGTACGCTGTGAACACGACGGAGAAGCATTTGAGCATTTTGGGCAATGTTGAGCGCCATCTCGTGGTGACCCCGGACTTTGATGTGCTGTTACATTAACGCTTTCGGCTCGATAGCCCTAGTAGATATAGTGGCATCTGTGTTTACGTACTCAATAGAAAGACACGGGTGCGTAGCTGCTTTAATCGTTCGCTGAAGCTTCCCTGCGTGTGGGCCCGTCCCTTAAACTGTACGTTTGTATCGTTCCGTTCCACTGACTGGACATCTTTGACCATGAAACAGTCGGGTATGGTATCTAAAGAGTTCGTACACGCCGGACTTTACAGTACAATATCCTGACAATATGATGACGAGTTTGTAGCACAACTATTGAGACAGCTTATGCATATACCAACAGAAGCTTGAAAGAATAAAAAGAGAATTACTTTGTGTGTCCTGCGTACTACGAGCTAAAAGAAGTGGTGCGCCTACACGCTGCTTTACAGACTTGTTTCACTCCTCGTCCTGGCAACTAACCTAGCGGATTTTGCCGCGTACACTTGTGTGCAGCTAGCTAGCCGTCGATTCAAACTGCATGCAACTTGGATCAGCGAAGGAAATTGATCATGGATCAATCAGCTTATTCATCGTCCTCATCGTCCTCATCATCATGCTCCACCTCTTCTTCTTCTTCCACGGCACCGTTCGAGTTGTAAACGTCCATTTGGTGCTGATACTTGACCTTCGCTTCATCATGCATCTTCTGGTATTTAAGGCGTTTCTTGTCCGGCAATGCTCGCCATTTCTCCGCCAGAAGTGTAGCAATCTCCGTAATCTTCTTGTTTGGGTTTTCATCACGTGTCTCTTGACGAATATCATTGCAGAAGAAGAAATAAGCAGACAGTGCACGCTTTGGAGCATTTGGATCCTTTTTCTTGCGAGACCCTTTGGTGGTTTCAAAAGATGGATCTGGGACATAGTCTTCCTTCTCTTCCAAGTATCTTCTCTTGTCAGCAGCAGCCAACTCATCGTACGGCTGCAGAGAATAAAGAAAACAAGTGTTAATTAGAAAATAGTACATGAAATAGTAGTAATAGTAGTAATCACAGTCATACAATCAACGTACCCGACGTTCTTCATCCGTGATCTTCTTCCAACGACGTCCGATTTCACTTGAGATCTCAAGGAACTGCAGCTCCGGCATCTCTTTCTTCACCGTGTCACGAATATCGTTACTGAAGAACATAAAGGCCGATAATGCACGCTTGGGAGCGTTCTTATCTTTTTTCTTGCGAGGCTTACGCGTACGATCCCCATCGACCTTCTTTGGACGTCCAACTGCTTTACGTGCCATGGTCTGTCGTAGACAGGACGAGTGAGTATGAGATGGTCTTCTTCTTGTTTGAGTGCTTGGCTGGGCGGCGCAGATCTGGAACTGGCTTGGCCTTAAAAGGCGGCGGGAAAAAACTCCCTCAATGAAAAACCACGAGCCAATTTGCCTTTGAAAAACCCCGTCAAGTTATTATTGGAGATCCTCAAGCTAGTATTCTCGATTAAGTACGAGTCAACACACAGCCCAGCTTCAAGATCGTTGTTATGTCCATTCTTCGTCTTTCGACCTCTTCATCATTACGTTCTCTATCTCTCTCTATCTCTACCTTATACTACTCTACTACGTTCAGCCAGTTATTTACATATTGATATAATCGTCTCCTATCTGCTGCTGGAAATCTCTTATGATCTATCGTGAACAAGTCTTAGCTTGTCTTTGGTTGATCTATTGTGTGGCCCATGACACGACAGCATTTGTATGTGATAAATGTATTTGGTATTGAATGTGGCATCGTAAAGTCTGGTGGAGGGCGTTGTGCCCTTCTAAAGACATCGATATGCATCAAAGGCGAATGACACGGAAGTTTCGGACCAATCGATGTTATCAGGGAAGCGATCTCACCTTTGCTCTCTTGATACCGTAGGTGAAGCAAAGTGTGTAAATTACTATTTGACGATGAGCGGGTAGCCGATGAATATCCATTTCAGGGCATTGAAGCGGAAAATCTAGTCAGCTATGGAGGGAATTCTTGTGTAGCTCAAGTTGTGGACAAAGTCTAAGGATCTGACGTGAATTGGACAGAGATGGCTTTGCCTGTTCTTGCGATATTGTTAGGCACCACTATCGAAGTTGCCAGTGCTAATCTGTGTTCTAGAGACTAGGGTGCTTTATTGCAAGAGACGCACATTTCTTAGACCATACGCTCGCTAACAGTTTTGTGCGTCTCTTTGAAGCATTCATTTGAGGCAAAATCAAGCGCGCTATACTATTGGCGGAATCTTATTTTTTACGATTTCTAATTGGCTGCATAGAACTTCTCGGTCTCGTGAGACGAGGATAGTGCGAATAGCCCTTTATAGAAAACTTTTTTGCGCCGAAGTTCTTCTACCTTCGGAGATAGAGGAGAACTTGGGCCACATCTCTGCGCCACACATCTCAGCCTCACTATTGCTAAGTATCAACTTTTTGGCCAACTTAAATGGTCAACTTTATTGGCCAACTTAGTTACCTAAAGTCTCCCGAGTTTTTGAGTTAAGTTAATACTTCGCTTGTTGCTTCCTAATCTTTATAAGTCGCCCTACTTCTCTTGGCGCTTCAATTTATTCCTTATCTCCAGTCGCGATCTCGTCCAGAAGACTCTACTTGGATACCTTTTATCTTCTAAGGCATAACGTGCTTGTATCAAGTTCAGTCGTCTCTGTTCTAGTGTACTATAAAGCCTGACAATCTTTAAAACCCTTGCGGTTCCTTCACAAAGTCAAAAGACGTAGTCATCTCGTTGTTGTAGTGGCATGTAGCATTTCGTTCACGTTGGGGGGGGGGTCTTGGGCTCTTAACTCTATAAGAAAGTGGACAGGAAAGTCTCTGCATGGGACAACTTTAAGTGAGACTTGAACAACTTGGATCATCTTCTAAACGACTTTTTACGAATGACTGCGCCGCCACACTCCCACCGTTGAGGAATTTCTTAGAACACAGAATAGGTTTTGACCGACGCAATCTGATTTGGATAAGTGCAGAGCCAAAACATTGGAAAATGAAGGAAAAGCACTGCTGGACCATAATTATGAAATTGAATAGACCATTAAATAATACTCGAGATATTCGATAAATGCGAAAATTTGCAAATTTCCAACCCATCATTCGAAAAGTTTGTCCTGACTTGCTTTACACTGGTAAGTACTATAGACGATCTGGGCAATTAATGGTCCGTTAAAGAAGTGCGCAACAATTTAGCTACTTTGAAGATGCCTGAATTTGCAGCACTCACACAACAGACCAATGCATTCAAACAAAGCCTCAGGCGTAAAAAATGCAAAGAAAGATGATCTCAATGACCTTTGATGACAACAAAGTTTTTCTTGTCATTTCGGACTTACACGAGGTCTAGTATAACTACGTTTCAGTATGACCATGGAGTAGTATAGATGCAGATACATATCGTACGCCTTCTATTAGATCGTTAAATGTTGGTCGAAGTTGGCGGCTCATGCAGCAAAATAAACTCCACCCAAGACTTTTGACTCTGTCAAAACATTCGTGCCGTTTTTGCGCGGAATTGCTCGACTAGCTTACCAGCCAACAGGCAAAAGATGGACAGAGAGCTCACGTCAAAAAAAATAGAGCAGAAAGAATTATACTGCCTATTCAGATACGTCCTTTACTTGCTGCTTGTCAGCACCAGCAATACGACTCCAGCTGCTCTTAGCACCACCAGCAATACGACTCCAGCTGCTCTTAGCACCACCAGCAATACGACTCCAGCTGCTCTTAGCACCACCAACATAAATTTATGGTGATTCCACAATTACTTGCTGCCGCATAGAGAAGGTGAGTAGTTTGCCTAAGAGCTACAGCGATTGTAGTTGGTAGGCTGCTAAAGTAAGGGCGACTTGTGTTGTGGTAACCAGTCCCGGCTTCATTGCCTCCATCTGGAGCCGCATTATTCAACAGAACGTATGATTTTACCTCTAATACCGAGGGCATCCATTGGCTTCACTGAACATCCTATCCACCACACTAACAAAGCTGATGCTTAACGTCTCACGACAAATCACTCGCATTGAAATGTTGCTGAAATCTGACAGTGAATACATTGAAGAGATCTTTTTGCGACCAAGTTGGCATCCTGAAATCATTGAAATAACGCACCAAGTGAGTCACTGTACGTGAAAAAAGTAACTGCGCACGACCAGACTCGTATGACGTACAGCTGCTTCAACCTGTCTGAATGTCACTGTGCTTCGTGTTGTAACCCAATCGATGTTCCAGGATTGTTCTTGACTTGTCTCGCGGGCAATGCCTTTAAGGCGAGGCTTCGTGAATTCGGCCGATTGAGAATGGCAATTAAGTACGCTTTCTTAAGTCGCAAAGTCCCGTAGACCCCGCGATGTAGCAACTGCGCAAACGAGGTGAGGCCCATTTTGCTCTTCGTCTTTAAATATCGTCTGGCACGTCAACTGCAGTCAATTCAAAGGTGATGCTGACTTTGTCTCTGCTAGAAGTACATTAATGAGTGAGTCAGATGCCTCAGACACATCAGTCCAGGACCGACTTCTAGCTTGTCAGCGTAACCGTTGTTAACATCTTCATCTCTAAGTGTCTGCGACTGCATCAGCAAATGGATATGTTCCAGCTACGCCCGAGATTCCAACAAATACAGATACAAAAATGGTCATGCTCGACTCATGTTAGACAAATATATACGCTTTTTCTGCATCTTGCGAGTCCATCGATGTAAATGGAGCTCGCCAGCAACGTTTGAAGAAGCGCAGAATCCACTTGCGTAGTGTCGGCTCCTTTTTGCCTTCCGTAAAGGACGAATGATGCTGCCTCATGTACTCTAGAACAGCCTTGACATCGGTACCTGTCACAGATGCGAGAACAAGTTAGCTCGAAACTTCTACTTCTATTTCAACTCTCACCGTTGGATAATACTGACCTTGTCCTCGTTGATGACGCTGGCTGACCCATGTAAGCAGTTCATCTTCGAATGTACAACTACTACGTCGTCCTCCTCCAGCTAAACGAAAGCGCTTCCGCTCTGACGTGATTAGTTTGTCACGAATACTTTTCCAATAATTTAAGCAATTGGAGTTCTTCAGTCCCACCTCTTTTGCCACTTCAGCAACACTTTTGCCCTCTTCCAGCATATTTACTGCGTGCAGCTTAAATTCGTTCGAGAACAGCGTGTAGCGTCCTGAACATGATCGCCGCTTGCTCGTATGCCGCACTATCGTCGTGATTCTCCTAGATTCTGTATCTGCCACTTCTTCCTGAGTATCATTCGCAGATTGGGACTGTGGCAAAAGCATCGTCGGCGCACTCGTCGCCGACTCGACCTCCACCCCTTTGTGCGCCTCCACTGCCGCCAGCTCCGTCTCATCAGCAACTTGGCTCACATCCATCACCTTGGACACGACCGCTTCAGCTGCTGACACTATTGATGGCTGTGGCTGGATGTGTTTCTTCAGGAACCTCGACGTCCAAACTTTAAGCGCTGCTGCGCTCTTGGACGCCGCAAAAATTGGATACTCTTCCAGCACGTGGTTGATAATGTCCTGTCGCGTAAGAGACACTTGCCTGCGCTCGAGGACCCATTGCAGCAGTCCCTTCTCGTCTTGAAACACTGTCCTCGCTTTACTACTCGTGTCCGTCCCCACAGTGTCTACCCTCTGCTCAGTCAGCTGATGCCGCTCATCCTCGTGCTTCCAGTAAAGCAGCGTCAGAGCACTTTTGAGTGCAAATTCCTCGGCAACTGCAGATATATTGCCGGAGCTATCGAGCTGTTGCATGGCCTCAACATTGGACGAGTCTTCATGTTGCGCTAAGAAGAGCGAGAGCCACGTAAATAATAGCGGCAGATCATCCAGCAACTCAGGATGCCTCGTCTCAAAAAAGAAAAAGCGCTTCGTCGGCTGGAGACGTCGCGTCGGATCGTTGTAGCCACAGTAGAAGCTCCGACGCGTAGCATTCTAAATGCAGCGCAGTTGTGGCTACATTTGCAGCATCATTATGAGACGAAGAAGGCAATTCGGAAGCTGCAAAAAGCGCAAGAGTGGAGCTAGACATGTCTTCTTGAAGGTCTGTAGAGGTGGGGCATGTTAATGTGGCGTCTGTGGAGCTAGTGAGCTCCTCGCAAGACGACATGGTGGAGCAGCTTTAGTAATTGTGATGGTAATGAGACCACCAAACGAATTCTAGAGCATAAGAGTAATTGTTACAGTTAAAGAGGATGGCTACAGATTGATCTTAAAACGACGCTGTGTTCAAGAGCAGTGAAGCGGCGGTGTCGTATGATAGCAAAATGTTCTGCTACAATATGGTCACCAAGTGTTTATACGTTGTGTGCAGGACGTGGACCATGTGCCTTACAGCTCACTGAAGGAGTGAATTGTAGCAAAGTGGTGAGACTCCGGCAGCGGCTTGTTGCCTGGACGCACGGACAAAACAGTGTCGAGTCCGGCTGCTTCAGCGGCTTGAGCCTCTTCAATCACGTCCGTGACAAAAAGCACATCCTTAGCACTGTCTACGCCGAGACTCTCAACAATTTCTTTGTAGCTCTCAACTTCACGTTTGTGGCCAATCTTCGTATCAAAATAAACAGTCAGATACTCGCGCAAATCGCCTTTGTCAGAGTATTGAAAAAGCAGCTTCTGGGCCTGGCGTGAACCGGACGAGTAGATGCCCACACGCACACCACGAACACGCAGACGATCAAGACATGGAGGAACATCATCAAACACAAGTGCCTTTAGCTCACCGGTTTCATAGCCTTGGAGCCACATGTGGCCCTGCAGTTGCTTGAGAGGTCCAATTTTGCGGTCTGCCTCGACATTCCACTTAACATAAGCAGTGAGATCCTCAATTAGGTTCTTTCTGCTCTGCTGGGCATCTAGTGCAGGCGGGTTTACTCCATCGGCCTTGTCCTTCTTATACTGGTCCACCAGAGCCGCCACGTCCGCCTTCGTGCTAGGCGAATCCCACGTTTGCTCCAAGAAGCGAGCAACATTGTTCGTCACATACGGGAACAAAACATCATGGACAAAAGAGATTGGCGTCGTAGTTCCTTCAATGTCCAGCATTACTACCTTATGCTTCTCCGCCATGCTGTTGCGCGTCTCATCGGCCCGCAGATGTTCATGAGAGTTACCATTGGCTTTTACCGATGCAGACACAGGGGGGACTGTGTAGTCCAGGTCATGCTTGCGCATCTCGAGTGCCGTCTCAAACAGGTAGTGGAGGCACTCAGCATGACGCTTGGCAGCTTCCCACGAGTCACCCCACACGAAGAGACCGTGACGACGAACCAACACAGCAAGCGCATTGGGATACGCCTCCATAGTACGAGCAATCGGCTCAGCCAGCACAGACTCTTTCGGTGCGTTGTCGATCACAGGAACGATCAATGTATCTGTGTATCCATAGCCAGTAATGCCCTTAATCATTTCCTGGTGCGAGATGCGGAATTCATTCTTACCATCGCAAAGCGCAGCCACCAAGTTGCATGTGATGCCGTGGCTGTGTAGCACTACGGCAGCCTTGCGGATTTTGTGCACGTTTAGAAATAGAGGCGCGCAGTCCGAGAGCTTTGGGACTTTCATTTTATCCTTAGCCTTGGGGCTTGAGAGGATATTACCGTCAGGGTCTAGCACGTACAGATCCTCCGGCTGCAGACGTTCCTTGGGGACACCCGATGGAGTCACGTAGATGCGTTCCCCGTGACGTAGACTCATGGCACCACCAGTGCCCGTCATCCACTCCGTAGTGTAGTACACACGGCACAGCTCACACACGAGTTCACGACATGCGTTGCCGTCTGCCAATGTCGAGCGACTGGCTGCGTCCGCCGGTCGAGGGAAGCAAGTCAAAAGAATTTGAGATTCGTAGCTGTTTTCCAAGAGTTGCACAGCCTTGCGGTCAATGGTCCCGAAGCGGCGTAGCGTGCAAGAGCGTAGCGAGAATGTCATACCCTCTGTCAAAGAACAGCGCACCCAGCAGTTGGCCGAGTCGCGTACGTCCAGGAACATGGGACCTGAGACGACCTTGTAGACAACGTCGGTGGTACTTGAATGCTCAGTTCGTAGTTCATCGTCGGGGGCCACGTTTACTACAGACTCGTTCTTGAGTGTCAGTGTAGAGCCAAGCGGAAGTTCGGCAAAGGAGACGCCAATTTCACGGAGAATAGCCAGACTTGCGCGGTCCGAGGAACTGTCGAGATACGTCGGCTGCAAAGCGAGCTCCAGAGATGAGATCTATGTTTTAGTAAGAGACAAATGTATGGATGTACACAAGAGACGTCAGAGATCATCACTGATGCAAAAAAGGCATTGCTATGTCGCGTAAAATTGACACAGCAGCGAAGAGCTCAGTTGAATTACGCACCGTCATGGGTGTCACTGTCAGCCAATAAAATAATGATAATCATTTTTGATGTAGAGATTCGTCCCAAACATAGTAGATACAGTACAGGTTCATATTTTTGAAAGTTACGTCGACCGAAGTTCATAAAGCGTCTTACTCTTCGCCAACGACCGTGGCACTCAATTCTTGCTCATCTGCTGTTTCATTTGAGAATGACACCGGCCACTTAAAGTCGCAAGTGGGAGGTATCAACGGCGTTTTCGGAGTTTGCACCGGCTCGCTCAACATGTTCACATCGCTGTTGGGGTTCTTCCGCAAGTACTTTCGCGCTCGCCACACACGACAGTGCGACTTCCAACGGATCTTAACAGCATCTTCGGTTCGTCCTGGTAGCATCGCTGCAATGACCGACCAACGATTGCCTAGTCGCGCTTGTGCCTCCAAAATCAGTCGATCTTCCTCAGGTGAGTACGCGCCACGCACGATCTGCGGATCCAAATGGTTGTGCCAGCGTTCCCGACACTGTTTTGACGTGCGACCCGGAATCTTCGAGGCCACATCACCCCAGTTCTTTTGCTCCGTTGCTAAAAGACGCCGCAGGAGCTCATCCTCGTGCGGAGACCAATGGCCTTTCACTAAACCTGGAGCAAGCACTTTGGTCCACCGCTGAAGACATTGCGTGTGATTGCGACCAGGTACTTGAGCGGCAATAGCTTTCCAATTTTTCTCGCGGTGGCTTTCGACAGCAGTGCGCAGTGCGTCATCCTCTTCTTTGGTCCAACGACGAGGAGTGGCTTTGCGGGTTGCAGGCGTACTGGGCATACCAGGCACAGAGATTGGACCCAGCGATACCAGTCCCGTATCTGCTGTCACCGCTGTAGTTGCGGCGGCACGCGCTGCCGCAACTTCCTCGTCGCACCTTATGCTTAGCTGCTTCGACGTGATGCTTATGCGCTTGAGGGGGGATTCCGGCGTTGGTCGATTTGCCACAGCAGTGCCAGTACTAACGCCATTAGTAGCCGAAGGAAGCGCCTGGAACTGTGAGTAGTACACTGGCGTGAGAGATGCTGAGGAAATTTCCGGTCGAATCGTAGAACTCCGTGTATTGCATTGGTCCGGAACAATCATGGAATTCTGGTATCCCATTCCAGCCACACCTAGAGCCGATCGGTCTCCAGGGTCTGTCGCACTAGACGGGGATGCCAATGGTGCCAAGAGACTCCGCGCAAAGAGACTCGGCAACGATGACGGATTACCAGGAGACCGAGCAGCACTGTCGGCAAACACCTCTGACGAATTTAAGTGTGGACTGCTAAGTTGCATTGATGGCGCAGTAATGGCCAGCGGTGACCCAAGCGTGAACAACGGAAACGAAGCTTGGGGAGCCATAGAAGACGACTTTGGCACAGCTGGTGGCCGCAAGGACGAAGTCGTGGTTGCAGGTGGAGCTGTCGTCGCCGTTGTCGTAGCACTAGAGGCAATAGCTCGTAGTCCAGTAAGTGCCTGCGCCGCTTCTGCCTCGTGAATACTAGAGTCTTTTACCTTCTGCTGCACTGCTTTGTCTTCTGTTTCTACTGATGCTGCTACAGCTGACTCACGTGATGGGGCCTCTTGCTTGATCGCCACTGCCGGAACTGGAGTGGCGTCTGTAGTTGAGGGTGCATGTGGTGACTGCCGTAAGATCTGCACAGCTTGTTGCAACGTCGTCAGCATCGTTTGATCCTCTCCCGTTTGTGTCGTGCCATGAAGGCTGCGAATTGCTGTTGCAACGCCATGTGCGTCTCTCCGTTCAAGAGCGACCGTCACGTCGGCCGCCACTGGAAACTGCTGCTGCATAGCTCCAAGCCACGCACTCGTAGCACCTCCTAGTGCTGCCTGGTCCAGTACATGCTGCACTACCATCTGCGCTACGTGAAAGGACAATGCTGTAGCCACAAAGAGAGAGAGAGAAAGAGACAAGACAATATCAATCATTGCCATTCATAGCGATATATCAGTAGCCACCAACTGGTGGTCACGTACCCATTTGAGGCAATGTTTGCTCGTAATTACAGTCGTGCGACTTGCGCACGTGAGTGAGTAAATGGTCGAGCGTCGAAGCGCCAAAGCCACAGAGCGAACAGCGAGTTAAAGTTCCAATGGCATCACGTGCAGCGGCAGAGGCACGGAATGTGGCGGGTGCGTCAATGGCTTTGCGTTTCTTGGAGGATCGATTGGCTCCAGATTGCTGGGTAGTTGTCGTGGCCTCTGTCGGATTCAATCGCGTCAACATAATGGAAGACCAAGAGCCGGTAGTCTCTGGTCTGACTTCTCGTGGAAGAATGCGACTGAAACCTGCCGTCTGAGAAGCTCACTTGCCAGCCATTGGCCCATGTTTTTGCTCACCCTTTAAAAAAGCATACGGAGATCCAGTCAACTGAGCGAATTTGAAAGGCGCGAGCTGGCCTCCTACATCAAGGACTTTGTATACCACTTCTGGGATGATGCAGTGCCCTGCCTTTGTTTCAAGTAGTAGCACTAACTGACAACAAAGTGGGGCGAGGGCAAAACTGGAAAATGTCTAACGGGAACTTGCTGTTCTATGGCTACAGTATGTGTTGCGGCTACAGCATGTATGCGGCTACAGTATGTGTGCGGCTACAGTATGCGTGCGACTCCAGTATTGTAAGGCTCTCTACAATATTTGCAGCGGCGAGCAGAAGATACGCTGCTTTGCTGAAGTCTTAGTATCTATTAAAACTCGATTTCAAAGTATACGGTTCACGTGTTGGCAAAAACGTAGCATTATGGAAAACTAAGGAAAAATATCAAATCAGCTCGTTCTTTAAAAATTTCAGACATAGATATTTTCGACTAGCGTTACTTTGGTTTTAATTCTTTATCTAATGTATAATTTGCAATGTCTGTAATGCTAATACTCGTGAAAACAGACTTCTTGAGGAATGTAGAGTACATTTATCATATCAAAGTCGATTTTGGGGCGTGTATGCGCATGTCTGAGCCCAGTAGTATCTTCCTTCTCAGCTTATCATATAAACACATCTCGGTCGGCAGACTGCGCAGCATCAGGTCTAGATGTCGAACATGGTGTACAACTGGCTTTTCACGTCACTGTTCAGGTCCCACATTCCTTGACAATGTGTACCCGATATTGTATTTCTTTAGCTTAATAATGAATACCTTAGAGCTATATGTAGGCAAGATAACAACACAATTAACGCTTATGATGTGAATGAGAGCAAGCCTCTGCAGTGCTGCGGGAAAGTGGCTTCGTCACAATAAATTATATGCTACAGATGCTTATTTTTTAACAAGCACCTGATCTCAACATTCGAGCCAAAGAGCAGATCCGATAAGGCAATTATACTACATAGCAATGCCTTCATGAAGTAACAATGTCAAGTAAATCGTTACGCATTCGACTCAAGGACAATACCATAGTGATTCATACTATACATGAACAACAGCTTGGTCATTTATTGCACATAACAGCGGTGGCATCACAACTTTATGAAGCAAAATGTGGTTACAGTTTTTGCCGTGACGAATGGCATGAAGACATTAACGTCTGGTACGAGCGATTGGCTCACACGTGCTCAGTATACATCCAACTGATGGGGATGATTATGGCATGGTCAAGGGTATTGTTCTAAAGCGGCGAGGAATGATTATTGTCCAGACTGCCATTTACAATCGACGCCAAAAGTCGTTTCGGATGTCGCTCGATAGGTGACACGATCTTTGCGGATTTACGGATACCGAGAGCAAGCAATTGCTATTAACACTCTATTGTTTTGGTTGTGGTGGATGGCTACTCTCGCTACATCAAGGCTCTACCTGCTAAAGTATGAATATGAAGGGAACAAGTCATTGAAAAATACATTGCTTGGCTGAAAGACAACGCCCCTCCCGGCCCCCAACAAGTTGATTAAGTGGTGACTCGTGAGTCAAGTGACGACGCCGAGTGTAGAGCTGGAAGCCCAGTGAGGCAAGTATGACGGATGAAGGGCAGGAGCTTGCGAAGGTAGCTATCGTGCACACAAAATTTGGCTACAAAGCTAAAGGGAACGCACACAATAAACTTTACGGGATAGTAAAGACCATGATGCGCTAGGCTGGTCTGCCGTTTTTTTTCGTACATGCTCTCCAGACCGCTGGCTACATAAAAATGCGTGTGCTGCAAAGACCTCATACGAAGTAAAATGTGGATCAAATCTATACATTACCATTTCGGAGTCGCCTACGTACTACCACACACCGAAGGAATAGCTTAGTATGGATGGAGTGCAGGATCGGGTTGCCGCAAACAGTCAATAAAATGTCATGTAGATAACAAGGTTTTTCTTAGCTGAACGTGAAGATCCGGCTACAATAGCGGATGGAAAACAAAAACCGTTGGCTTTTAACGTATAAAAAGAGGCAAATTTGATAAATTTTGCTGTTGATGTAGAGGAATTGTCACATCTTGGTGGGTGCGATGCAGGATTGGACTGATGGCGACAATGCACACTAAGCTCTGTGGAGCGGAGTGTTGCGCAATGACAGACAACCAAATTTTGAGCAAGAATGCGACTTTCCGAATAAAGAGGCCACCAATGATGACTTGGCAAGCGACGACCATCGCGTGTAGGAAAGCAGTCCCAGTACAGCTTCCTGCCCAAAATGGCGATAATACGCTCAAAGAAATGCAAAAGGGTAAAATATCGCAGGAGGTAGCGACGCTCCAAAAGCGGTTAAGGGGTCGCTGAAGCAGACAATGAAGTGTCTGCTGACAGCAATGCGGCTTTAGCCGATGACACTGATGAAGTAAAGACATTATAAGAGATCTAGTCAGAAGATGAACATGACGATGCGGAAAGCGATGACGGCGAACATGACCTTAAATGTAATGAGGACATTGCTGCTGGAACAACTGGACATATTATTTTACATGGTGATGGTCATTATAATGAACTTGAAGACAAATACGATTGCTTTTTTATCCAGCATCGCCTGATTTTATAACGAAAGAACCATCCATTCACTTCCGTGCTTCAGTCTCGACCAGACTGCTTTTGAGACCATAAATTGACTTGTAGTCACGCAGAAAATACAATCGATGTTGCGTGAATATATGTTTCACGGACATCAAATATCGCTTCGCTGCGACAATCAGGCGCCGCCACCATCAGCAGTAGCCTTATTGATACAACTATACCCACGACGATGATAACCCTGTTCCACGCGATGACATTCTATTGCTATGAAACATGAAGCCTTAAGTAGACGTGCAAGGACTTCGGCATCGAAAGACAAGGCCTTCTTGAAAAGTATTTGGGTGTGTAAACAGAGGAGAACACTATATCTATAAAGTACTTCCCAATTCGCGCCTTCGAGCAACAACGGCCAAGAGACGAAGACCTTCAAAGAGCCGGTCAACCGGCCCCCTCCGACCAGGGCGGGAGTCCCTCCAACGGGAGGCCCAGGATAAGAGGGGGAGGTTTTCCCTCTGCTGCGTGCGCTATGGGGGGCAAGCGCAGCGTGCGAACCGTAAGGGGAGCACCAACCCTGTTACCCCCGGGGGGAGAGGATCGACGACCGCGGTTATCATTCCCTCTTTCCCCAATAGTTCCTGCTATTCTACGTCAGCCTTCAAGACGCCGATTCGATCGCTGAGCGCGAATCTCGGTCCCACGAAGTGAACTTGCCAAGAACGTGAATTGATCGGCCCCGTCCAGGTGCATCAGCGGTCGATCGGGACTGATCGGTGTGGTGCCCGGCGCTTGTTGCGATCATTGAGCCACTGTTTACACCTCGGGCTGGATACCCGATTCCACGTCCCTTTTCGGAGTGTCCCCCGTGACGCCCGACATCTCGAGCCAGCAGATTGAGCCAGCGAGGCGAAGAATGACGAAGTCCTGGTAGAAGCACTCCAGACATCTTACCAATCCTTAATGTTTGAAATAGACGGTCTGTTCTTCTCTCTATATCTATAAAGTCGGTACCAGACTAAAGACATTTTCGATCGCTTAATCTTAATTATGCACATGCAAAAAAAGTCCTAATGGAGACGAGGATGAACTAAATGTAAATGATGTTGAAGACGAAAACTCAGCGATTGCTCAAGCAGTGTGCTAATGTGACACACACTGTATAGAGTGAACGACACCACTGGCAGATGTTGAGGGCTCAGATATAAAAAGCTTACAGATGAGCTTTCTACATGGCTATTTCCAAGCACGAATCGATTGGCTAGCAATATTTGTAGGTATGTTAAAAGAGCTAATATACGTTTCCATTGACTTCCTCGCTCACAGTTACACCTCTGTAAGTGAATAAGCAAAAGGTTATGAGCCCAACTACGGCTGAGACAAATGATGTCTTGAATAAAGATAACTACTTCGCATGGAAGTTTAACGCACGAATAAAACTCGCCAAGAAGGGACTGCTGGAACATATCGACGCGACGAAGGCCTCGAGTGAAGGTGACGCTAACGCGTCAACATGGAAAGTCAACGATATGAAGGCCTTTGCAAATATGTGTACTATGATAAATTCTAGTTTTTTTTCAATCCATAATTCGGAGTGCAGGGACGACAGTGGAAGCCTGAGAGTTTTTAAGAAGATTTTTTCTTTGAAGAAGCATACATAATCGGGTACAGATGCGTCCAAAGCTGCACGAGATCAAGATGAAGAAAGAGAAATCGTAATGGATCACTTTCTCAAGCTTGGTGAGCTGTGTATGTCAATGCAAGCCATCAATGATGAATTTTTGCGGGATGAGCAACTCGTGAACCTATTACTTAAAAGCTTGTCTGATGAATACGATCAGGTCGTCATGGACATCGAGAATATGGGAGAGATTGATCTGTTTCATGCCAAGGAGACGCTTCGTCGTGAAATCGAAGGCATTGCTCGAAATGAGAAGAGCAAATCGCGTTGAAGGCTACAAGCAACTTCAATAATAAGAGGTCTCGGTGTAATCCTCTTTCGGACAATGCGGGAATTGACAAAGTTTACGATCCAGCTCTGGAACGTACAATTCGATGTCAAATCTGAATTAATTTTTATTTTTTTATTATTTAAAAAACTTTCATAATGAATATTTAAAATCCCCAATTTATTTAAAAAATTTTTTAATAAAAAAATCTTCGATCCGAATTGGCTTCTTGTTTCAAAAGACGACACGAATTGTTTCAACTTCAACAGCCAGCACTGTTATTGTATTCGCAATCGAAATGATATAGACCTGTTTAGTGGTCGAATCTCCACAAACTTTACTGGAATGGACAC